GGTTCTTCCCTTTTCTGGATGTAATCATTCAAGCTGTGTTTTTCTTCTTCCACAGTCTGTTTTACTTGTAGGATTATTGTTGTTGTTGTTGTTGTTGTTATTGTCCCTTATTCTAATGGGATTAAAATTTGCTGGTTGTGACCACTTGAGTCCTGCTGCTTTTAATGCTCCCTGTTAGCTTCCCACAAGGAAAGTCACTGCTGGAAGTTACTCCTTGCTCCTTTTTTGTTTTTCCTGTCAAGGGTTATTCTGTTTTTCTTGTTTAAGTAAGGGAATTCCTCTGAAACAGTGACCCAGCAGGGACTAGTTAATAAATGTATGTATGAATATGGTTTGAGTAGAGTAGGAACAGCTTAGCTATTTATTTGAGATTTTGATTACAAAGACTTAATGAGAAATGTTGGCAGCTAAAGTAAGAATCTACGGTGCTAAAGGGTCAGCTGCTTAAGTTGGGTTAACTTCTGGTGATTGTAGGGGGGCAGATATCTGGTATTAGGCACCAACTTCAAAACAAAATCTAACTCTTCTAATGGCATCTTCTAGTGATCTCCCTGATTCTATCCATCCATCCATCTTATCTGTTATCTTCCCCAGGTGTTGTTTCTTTCAAATGTGCCAAACAAAATTGGCAAACTATATCACATGCCCAAACTATGTGAGTTTCTTTATGCTGATTGTCACCTCAAAGATTAGAGGATGGCAGGAGTTCATTAAATATCCCACAGGCTATTTCTCCTACGGGCAGAAAACCTTGATGCCTCCTGTGGCTTCTGTGCTTTAGTAATTTTCACATTCTGTCTCATTTCCTATGTGAAGTTCGCTCAGAGAGTGGCAAAGCTGTGGATTGCATTGGATGACTTTGGTCTCCTTTTGTGGCATGGGATTAGAATAACATAGAATAACAAGAGTTGGAAGGGACCTTGGAGGTCCAATCTCCTGCTCGGACAGACCTTACCATTTCAGACAAATGGCTATCCAGTCTCTTCTTGAAAGCTCCCAGTGATGGAGCACCCACAGCCTCTGAAGGCAAGCTGATTCCCCTGGTTGATTGTTCTCACCTTTAGTAAATATTGGGTTAGTTCTAGGTTGCTTCTCTCCTTGATTAGTTTCCATCCATTGTTTCTTGTCTTGCCTTCTGGTGCTTTGGAAAATAGTTTGACCCTCCTCAGCAGTCCCTCAACACGACAAATATGGCAACATGACATTGAGGCAATATGCTGACTGATATGTTCCTCCAGCAGAGACTGGAGCTGATGGGAAACCCAGCAGATGCAGATGCACCCAGATCTATCTACCTACCTACCCACCCACCTACCTAGGCAGAATAAAAAAAACAAAAGCTATTATTTGTGATTCCTAAATAGATTTTAGAAAAGAGAACAATGAGGCATCTTGCTTATAAAAGAGGGTAAGATTTAAGATACGCGAGAGAAGAGACCTAGCTACATAGGATTTTGAAAATATGTGACCTCTTTGGGAATTTGGATTTGATCATGCTCAAGAGTTATTTAATAAGGCAAATAATTCAGGTTCCTCTGTAACTAAGTATTTTGCCAAACATGTAAATAATCAAGGTTTCTTCTGCAAGGAGAAATAATATAAGTCTTTTAATGGATCAGTGTAAATGAGGGTAATCAATCCTTAGTTGATTATTACTCTGCTGTAAATGACTTTTCTAGCTCTTTCCAAACGATATTAAAGTTTATGCCTTCTCACACGGAAACTGTTAATATAGTTGTGCTCATTTTAAAATTGATTTGGAAGAAATGCTCCAGGACATAAACGGGTAGTGACTGAAGAACTATTTATTTTTATTTATATGTTTATTTTATTTATATCTATCATGCATTCTGATCTCAACTGGGGTTATAAGTTGAAGACTGCCTGCATTAAGAGTTGCAGGCCAATTGTGGTCAGTTAAGACTGCCTGTATACAGTTGTTTGCTCTGCTGCTAAATGACATGGTCATAAAGTGAACTGTCTTATGTCAGCACCAGATTACTTACTACATTAGTTCCAGCTGCACTCGTTAAGTGAAGCATCCATAGTTATTAGGCACAATATCATGTGAATTATGATTTCCCCATTGACTTTGATTTAGGAGTTGCATTAATTTTTGACTCTTTAAAGAGCTACCGTATTTTTTGGAGTATAAGACACACCAAGGTTTTAGAGAGGCAAATTAAAAAAAAAAAAAGGTTTTTGCACTCCTCCCAAAAACGGCACATTTTTTGCAAAAACGGCCTTGTTTTTTTTTTTTAAAAAAAAAAGAAGCATGAATATCCTTTAGGAGGCTTGGTGGGTGGGCAAAAACGAGCAAAAACTGTCCCATTTTTCATGGAAATGGGCCCATTGTCAAAAAAATTGCATGCATAGGCTTTAGGAGGCTTATAGAGTGCTCCTGGGGGCTGCGGGGGGGGGGCAAAATTGAGCAAAAACAGCCTGTTTTTTGCTCATTTCTGCCCTCCCTAGCCCCCAGGAGCACTCTGCTAGGCTCCTCAAAGCTATGCACGGCCATTTTGCTGAAGGAGGTGGGGTTTCAGGAGGCAAAAAATGCTATATTCAGTGTATAAGATGCACAAGGATTTTTAGTCTCTTTTTTGAGGGAAAAAGGTGCATGTCATACTCCAAAAAATAAGTTACATTTTAAAAAGACTAACATGGAAAGCTGAAAAAAAGATCGATGCTCCAATGGGTAGGAGTGAAGAGTAATACCAGTTCAGAAGCATTTTTTCCAAATCATTTTCAGACTGTTCCAGGTCCTGCAGAGAAATGCTTCATAAGTTCTCTTCTCCTTTTCCTATGTTTCAAGATCACTGAGTCCATCTTACATGAACCACAGATATTTAAGATTAGGAAAATACATATTAATCTTTGAAATATTCAAGGATTTTATATAAGCAAAGGAATCAGTCAAGAACTGTATCATACATTCAAAGAGGCTATTTCTGTGCATTTAAATATACCCCCTGTGGTTTTGTTGTGCTTACTTAGATGCTGGATTAGTATAAAAGAGGGGTGTCAAACTCGCAGCCTGTGGGTTGGATGCGTCACACGCTGGCCACACTCACTTCGCTTTAGTGAAGGAAGATAAAGTCACAATACGTCACATGACGACATGATAACATGAGTTTGACACCCCTGATCTAGAATGAATACTGATTGTGTGCTTTGAGTTGAAAGTATTGTAAACTTCAGAAGAATAATTCACATGTATATAATTGCTAGTGGAGTGATAAAGATCCGTAAACCAGTAATAAAGAGGACATAGAATATAATTTATGTCAAGAGTTTAGAAAATCTTGCTTGCAGTTTTAACCACTCTATAAATTATATAGATGTCACTTGTTTAATCTGATTCTCCTTCTCTTTAAATCTCCTATTGTGTTTTGAGGATTTATTCCTATATTAGAACCAGAAAACCTATCTGGGTCTCAGGTTTTCATTTAGAAAGAGATAGCTGAATTGAGATAGAACTAATGGCTGGTTTAAAGCTTTACTAAAAATTCTTTTCTGTTAAAAATTAGTTGTTACTTGACCTAAGTGACAAATACTCCAAGCAGTAAATCTTTAAACTTTGGTTTTTAATATATTACAGATTAAACTTCAAGTAATCAATTAATTAAAAATATAGCAAGTTACAGTCCAGCTCAGTCTTGGAGTTGAAAAATGGGAAAAAATTAGATGAGAGCTTTTGATAAAATATGAGAATCCCTAATCTTTTAATTTACACCCTACTGTTTGCAGAGAAACATCATGAGTATACGAGACCAAATTGAAATATTTATATATCTGATAAATTGAAAATGTAATCTTTACAGAATTCTATGCAACTCTAAATCATATTAATTGCCTTCCTTAATGCCATATGAGTGTTATGGATTTTAAAGGTATATAATTTAGAATGTTTGCTGCTGTTGCATTTATGCAAAATGAAAACGCAGGTAATTTTCAATGTAAAATTAATCTGGAATTGTCTCTCTTCAGAAAGGCCAACTGTTAATATGCAACAGTGAAGAATCTCTGTACTTACTTTTTTTTTTCCCTTTTGATTTTCTTTTAGGGGATTGAAAATGTGCCAACAACAATGCTAGGTTTACAATGGGAAGTGTCACACTTCGCTATTTTTGCTATGGCTGTCTCTTTACCTCGGTAACCTGGACAGTTCTGCTGTTCATTTATTTTAATTTCAGTGAAGAGGCCCAATCTTTTAAAAATGTGCCCATCAAGGGGCTTGAACCTCAGAAGCCCTTCTCCAAAAGATTCTATCCCCAGCTTGTGAACGGACCAGGACGAATGCAGGAATCTAAGCCCAGATATGGCAAGATCAGGAATCCCTTGGGAAATGCTGTGCAGGATCTCCTCAGGAGTGATACAGAGTTTTCCCCTGAAATGGGTACGTTGGAGCCAGTGGTGAGATTCAAAATGTTTTACTGCTGGTTCTGTGGGCATAGCTTGGTGGGCATGGTATAGCTTGCTGGGTGTGGCAGGGGAAGGTTACTGCAAAATCCCCATTCCCTCCCAATCAGCTGGGACTCTGGAGGCAGAGAATGGATGGGGGCGGGGGCTAGTCAGAGGTGGTATTTTCCAGTTCTCTGAACTACTCAAAATTTCCACTACCGCTTCTCCAGAACTGGTCAGAACCTGCTGAATACCCACCTCTAGTTGGAGGGATAGAGCACTAAGGTAGTTATCTCCATATTGGGGAAGGCCAGGCACTGATCTTTGAATCAGTCTGAAAGTCTGATAAAGTTGGGCGGAGGCTGAGACCTTTGGAGAGATGTTGTCTGCCTAAGCCGATTAATGATCCATATGGATTCAGATATTGCAGGAGGAAGAATTTGGTTTAAAGCTAATTTGGTGAATTAGCTGCCATCCTAACATACTGGCACGAGGGCCAGTCTAGCACCAGGCTAGAAAGCAAGAGAAGAAGGTGAGCTCAAATTCTGCCACAGCCATGAAAGCCAACTGGGTGACCTTCGGCCAGTCCCTCTTTCTCAGTCCAGCCCACCTCACAGGGTTGTTGTTGTGGGGACAATAGGAGGAGGAAGATGTGCTGGATATGTTTGCAGCCATGAATCACTTGTAAAAATAATGAAAGCGGGAAATCATTTAATCAAACCAATTCCATGATATATAAGCCACAGTGGCAGGGTTCACACTTTGCATTAAGCCAGACAGACAAATTATGGCTTTTAATGCAAAGAGTGAAAAATAGAGCTCCAATATCATAATGTTGTTAACAGATATTATAGTGTTATATTGCTCATGCTAGGAATTCATGATGGTCTCTGTTTACCTGCCAATTTTCTTGAGTTTCAAGATAGATTACCAAAACCATTGTAGGAAGAGTAGCTTGTTTTGGGAATCCTCCTTAGTGGAAATTTTGAGATTAAGGGGATATTTTAGAAAATCATTATTAATATATTAACAGAATCAGTGGATTCTCCGTTTCAGGTATGATTTTCAATGAACAGGATCAGGAAGTGAGAGATTTGGGCTACCAGAAGCATGCTTTTAATGTGCTCATCAGTAACCGATTGGGATATCACAGAGATGTGCCAGATACGAGGGACAGAAAGTAAGCTATCATAAAATAAACATTTTCTTCCAAGAGCCAAATGACTTCATGGTGGCTAGGGAAAGTGAAGTGACATGATAATATAGGATAATATATTTTTTCCTTCTCTAGGTGTAAAGAAAAAATATATCCTCATGATCTTCCTTCTGCCAGTGTTATAATTTGCTTCTATAATGAAGCTTTCTCGGCCTTGCTTCGGACTGTTCATAGCGTTCTGGATCGAACACCATCTCGTCTTCTCCATGAAATCATTTTGGTGGATGATAGAAGTGAATTAGGTAAGAGATTCTTAGATTTGTGTGTCGCTCTGGGGTAGGGGTGGGATATCTGTGGTCCATAGGCTCACTATCACATGACTGGTCCCAAAAAAATAATAATATTTTGACAACCCACAAAACAGAGGGCCAGCTCGTTAGATAGTCATTTTGATTATGCCTTCCCCATCCTTGGTTGTGGCGTGACCTCTGGCTTGTATGCACAGGAAGATTGCCAATTCAGTTCTAGGAAGAATTGGATTAAAATATGACTCTGCTGTAGGTTTTATTGTCTTAACCTCAGCTTCCTGGAATAAATAAGAACAATAGTATGGAGTGTACAAGTATTTCAGATTTTGAGCAGTTGTTTGGTATTTGAAACAGGTTGTTCCAGCATTATTGGAAATACTTTGACAGGGTTCCAGCTATTATGGAAGTATTTTGAGCCCAGTAAATCTCTTTGAAACAGGTGTATTGAACACACAAGAGACATTTCAAGTTCAAAACACTTGTGGAATGTTCAGGGCAGCTGCTCCATTACTGAACTGAGCATTTCAAACTTGACACAGCTTTTCAAGTGCAAAATGTCCCAAATATTTTGCACGTCACCCTCTATTAGGGAATTTTTTTTGCAGAGAGGGCCTTAAGGATACACATCATGGGCTACGCAAGTTGCTTCCAAAAATGGAATTCTGTTCATTAAATGGTAGTCTGATTGTTTCTCTGTTCTCTTGCATTTCTAATTATGCCCTGCATTCTGACATACCTTTCTAAATTCCAGTCTTTATTAGAGAAGAGATGTGTCACTAGGATTAATCAGCTATCTCATTTCCTTCCACAAGGAAGAACACTTTAACAATTGTCACAGCTGTTGCGTTTCGTTTCAAGTTTGTTTTGCCAGCCTTTTAAAATAGAAGAAATGTGAGAAGTAGCTGGAAAGGTTTAGGATGGCTATAAAGCATTTTTTTTCATCTTTCCTTCTTCTGTTGTAGCTGATTTAAAAGAAGACTTGGACATATATTTAACAAAAAATCTTCCAAATAAAGTGAAACTAGTAAGAAATGAAAAGCGTGAAGGGCTAATTCGAGGGAGAATGGTTGGAGCTTCCCATGCTACAGGTAACATCCAGCACTAATGCAGGCAATACACAATACACCTTGTGCCTTTTAAGTAGTAATGTTATATCCTTGTCTTGTGCATTCCAGCACTTCCTAAATGGAATTATTGGGAATAGTGAGGTTTATCAATGCACTAAATTGACTAAGAGTTGCTTGCCATAAATCTGTAGAATATAGTACAGGTAGTCCTTGATTTACAACCACAGTTGAGCCGAAAATTTCTGTGATTAAGTCACCTTTGCTGCATATGATGACCTTTCTTGCCACAGTTCTTAAAGTGAATCACTGCAGTGGTCAGCAACATTGTCGTTAAGTGAATCTGGTTTCCCCATTGACTTTGCTTATCAGAAGGTGACAAAAAGTGATCCCTTGTCCCCGGGACACTGCAACTATTATTTAAATATGTTGAGATTACAGTAGTGATATCAGTTCACTTGGGACCTAACAATTTCCACCAAAAGTAAAATATATAGAAATACAGGCGTACCTTGTTATATTGCACTTCATTTTATTGGACTCACTGATAAATGCATTTTTTTATAAGACCCTCCACCAGCAATAGCACTTAGACTTATATACCGCTTCATAGTGCTTTTACAGCCCTCTCTAAGCGGTTTACAGAGTCAGCCTCTTGCCCCCAACAATCTGGCTCCACATTTTAGCCACCTCGGAAGGATGGGAGGCTGAGTCAACCTTGAGCCCGTGAGATTTGAACTGCCGAACTGCAGCTAGCAGTCAGCTGAAGTAGCCTGCAGTGCTACACTCTAACCACTGCGCCACCTTGGCTCTAAGCAAAAAGATTATAACTACTGGAGCTCAAGTTTAGCTTTTAGTACTAAAGTATTTTTAATTAAGCTATGTACCTTATTTTAGACATAATGATATTGCATGCTTAATAGAACATAGTATAACATAAATAAAACTTTTACACTCACTGGGACCCTCAAAGCTCGCTTTATTGCAGTATTTTGGAACCAAGCCCACAATATCTCTGGGTACAAAACAAGTTCACTCTGTACTTTCCAGTTAAACATAACTTTCCATTAATATTGAGGGATCCCCCCACTTCCCTTGCTGTTTCTTTTCCTATCACTTAATCTCAGTATTAATTCCCAGTTTCTCTTACTCATGCTGAAAGGTGCAAGTTATAAATGTCATAATATTCTCGTGTAAATTAGATTCTTGAGACCATGGTGTTCTCAGGAGGGCTTTTGGGCAGTCTCTTGTCTTCTTGTCTCAAACAAGAAGCAACAGATGGAAACTCCATCAAGGAGAGAACTAACCTAGAACTGAGGAGGAATTTCCTAACAGAAGAATGAATCAGTGGAACAGCTTGTCTCCAGAAGCTGTGGGTGATCCAATACTGGACGTTTTCAAGAAGAGATTGGAGAACCATTTGACTGAAATGGCATTGGGTTTCCTGCCTGAACAGGGGGTTAGACTAGAAGACCTCCAAGGTCCCTTCCAACTCTGTTATTTGGTTATTCTGTGTCTCATATGCCTCTTCCGCTTTTACTTTCCCAGGAAAGGTGCTTGTGTTTCTGGACAGCCATTGTGAAGTGAACGAGATGTGGTTGCAGCCGTTGCTGACACCCATCCAGGAATCCCGCAGGGCAGTTGTTTGTCCTGTGATTGATATCATCAGTGCGGACACGCTGACCTACAGCTCTTCCCCTGTTGTCCGCGGAGGGTTCAACTGGGGCCTTCACTTTAAATGGGATCTCGTTCCTTTGTCAGAGTTGGAAGGACCCGAACAAGCCATCGCCCCCATCAGGTGAGACATCCCAATTTCAAATACCGTCCTCCAATACAGGCCGCCAACCTGTGAGCTTGCGTCCCACTACTGGGCCATGGCCTGTTGGCTACCAGGCTGCGTGAGTGGCTGGCCAATGCGTGCGTGCATGTACGCACCCCCCTCGCAATAGTGGCTCCTTTTGCTTGTGCGCATACATGCATAAAGACACCTGCCCCTCCCTCTGGGCTGCCAACCCAGAAAGGAACTGGGGAACTCTGCTCTAATGGGGTGAACAGTTTCACTTAAAACCAGAAAAGAGGTTTTACAAGTTTCCACCAAGGGTGTGGGTTAAAAATGCAGTAACCATATCATGCCAAACCACAGCGTGACCCGTCAAAACCGCGGTCCACAAAAGCGCGGTCGACGAAAGCGCGTATGTGACGTCATCACAGCGCGACGAAAAAGATCTCACAATGTCA